TGGCATCTAATAACCAACTCGCAAAATAAAACAAAATAAAAACAAACCAACAAACATGACAACACCAGACATTATAATACAGACTTATAATTTGCACTGATGTTTTTTCGAAATTCTATACACAAAAAGTGAGCGCCAGAGCGCCAGAGGAACGTTTGCCCGGGGCGCCAAACAGGCTAGGACCGCCACTGCTGAGCGTCCATATAGGTCATCGCAGTTGAATGTGTCACTTATTGTTTTCTTTGAAACAATTGTATCAGCTAATTTCAGGTCTTTCTGTAGCTCTTCACAACCTGATTGTACCGGAGGGACGTTTGTGCCTGGTGGGACTTTCAATTGAGGACATAGAAGATTTATACCTATTCAGAACCATGGTAACTGGGTTCTTGCTGATCGGAGCTGGCCCTGGCTTTTCGAAGATTGAAGAAAGAAAACCCCACAAGGCTAGCCGCTATGATGTAAGTGATGGGAAGGGCTGTGAGTACTCACACTGTGCTTATTGAACGCAACATGGATCTTGGAGAAGCTCACAGCTCCTCAACGGGGAATTGACAGACCCGGTGACCAGTGACTGACATTTAGAACGGCTTTAAAGTTGGATGCAGCGCGTTCGCACTAAACCCAAACAACCATCATTTCTCTCATCTGGCTACCCACGTTGCTGCTTGAAGGCCCCCGAGGCCTCTGCTTTCCCTGATAACGGGACTGTGTTTTCGACTCTTTACACTACACCCTTCAAGGCCACCTGGGTCAGCTGTACGACTGTTTAATTTCGCTCATCTGGGTGAAGGGACACTGTCTCAGTTGAACACAGGATACACATATACATGCATACACACACGTATACAGACACAGACATATACTCATCCCCCTTCCTCCCTCCATATGCCAAAAGCTTGCCCCCACTCGATGCAGCCACCCCTGTTGCTTGTGATGTGTTTTCATGGTGTTATGGTGTGAAGATTCATGTGCTTATTGTGCTGAGGAGTTTGTTTTCTGTTCTTATACTGATCTCCCACTAGGAGCTCAGTCTGAGTTCTCTTTTTCTCTCCTACATTCCACTATTGTGTTGTACATTTCATTGTTTTTTCGTTACGCTACCTGTTCTGACCTGTCAACCCAATGTGATGTTTGTGTATTGTATGTATGATCGGGAGAGGTCAAGTCTTGCTGCAGGCAACTGCAAGTGGCAAATAAATGGCTTCATCATCATCATCATCATCACCTTTTTATAGCCCATAAGTTGGGACTGAATCAGGTGATATTAATTTGCATTAAGTGGCAGGATTGCTATCTTATTACTGATAGTTTTAAATTGGTGTCATGACTCTTTGCACCTTCTTCATGTGTTCAATACTTTTTCCCTGTGTCAGTTTTCGCTATCAAACATGGATTAATTTATGGGCATCTGGTTTAATTTCCTTGCATGTGTGGATTGGATGGGTTGTTACTGATATATGGCGAGAATTTTTTTCAATAATACCTTTAGAAATATGTTTACTCAGAAAATTGGTGACGTGTTCAATACTTATTTTACCCGCTGTAAATGTCCACTGCTTTCTGTTCTGCTTCATTTCAGGAGTTGATCTCATGGCTCTGTGTTATGCATTATTTTTTGGGCGTGGATGTTAAGTTATGGAGAAACTCTCTTCTCACATATCCAGAATTTTTCATTGGAACATGATTCATCGTTCCAGCTTTTTTCTGAGTCATAAGTTTTTATCTCTCCACAGTTTTCATTTCTGCCACCATTTGGTTCCCCACTATTCCAGTAGCTGAAATACAAATAAAATTATAAAAGTTAAACTCAACAATTCAGTCAGTCTTTGGTTTTGTGTGCCATGATATTAGCTAAAATAAGTTAGTTAATGTACTTAATGACATAAGAAGACTTTGTGGACAAGAAAGGAATTTAATTTGTATTTCAACCTTGTGGTCATGCGAGTCCCATCCACCCATTTCCATGTCCCCTCTGTCTCTGAGTCAGTCAGTCCAATCCACAAACACATCTTGAGCTGGTTCACAAAGTTCTTTTTTTAGAAAGAAAGAAAGAGAAAAACTAAATGTAAACATGCAGAACTTAGTGATTCATCAGTGTATCCTCTGTTTTCATGCAGTGTCATTCACATGTGTATTGTGATTGAACACACACCTGTTCCCCTCGGCTGTTAATAATCATCAGGTCTGCACCTTTTTGAAGACAGTCTTGTCTGCTTTGTTGCCAGGATTTCTTCTCTGAAGAAACTTGAAACAAACTACCATTGAATGCCGCCCAGTTTTGTTGATAAGCTGTTTAAGAAAATCAGAATAAAAATTTGGGTTTACTGGGGGACGGGTAGCATCCATACAACTCCAGTCATAAGCCTTTAAAAACCATTGCTTTGGAGAAGAAATCAGTGGTGCAAATTCAAAACACAAAAAAATTTGAAAAATGTTAAATTTTTGTGACCTCAGAGGGAGTGCTTCTCGGATTTAATAATTTATGTCTGGTAATGTTGCTCAAGTCAGCAACTGTCACTGTCTTGAGAAAGTTAATTAAAGTTAAGTTAGGGAGAAATCAACTTTTCTCTTCTGTCCACTTCTCGTTTTGAATCCTTGATGGTGTTACAGTAATTTGTAGTATAACACACTCTGAACCAAAACCACAGTATTAACATGTCTTCTATTAACATGAAGAACACTAGAGTTATTTTTGGAGCTGAGAAGCCAGTTAAACATCAGAAGGTTGTTTCTTGTCAATGCAGGTTAATGCCCCACTATAAACGGTCTAAATAAGCTTATATGAACGTATAGAATATTCATATGTTCACTCACATTAGCCTCAGTTTACATTTACAACTTTACCCTTCAAAGGCCTTTCCCAAGATACATTCTGCTTGCAAACTCCACACACTCCACACAAGCCCAGGATTGTTGTGCTAATCACACATCACTATGCTGCTCTCCCCCCAAGATCCTTAATCACTGTTAAATTGCTATTAGAGATCAAATAAGCAGCTGGATAGTATAGTGGTAAGACTACACACCTTTAGAGTGGGATTTGAAAGTTTGATTCCCACCCGGTATCCAGTAAGGGTCCTAGCTAGACCCCCCCATTGCTAAACCAAAGCGTGGTCTGCTGGGGTGGCAGCATCTCTGCTGGGGACAGGAAGAGACTGAACAGGGTGATCCGAAGGGCCAGCTCTGTTCTAGGATGCCCTCTGGACCCAGTGGAGGTGGTGAGTGACAGGAGAACGGCGGCTAAGCTGTCATCCCTGTTGGACAAC